TCCAAAGAGAAGAAACTCTAAGGGTCCGCCTGCTAGGTAGCTGACTATATACTGCTTGTCCGTAGCTGCCGCTGTCGGGCACAGAAGGCTTGGGCGGCGTCGCAGGCGAGGTCCCAGGGCGACCGTCGGGAGGGCGTTGACGGATCGGTGATTGTGCGGGCGAGATGGAGGGCCGGACCGGAGACGGAACCGGAGTCGGACCGGAATCGGAGGCGTCTCCGAGGGGCCGAAAGGGAGGTTCCCCTGACAGAATGTTTGTACTTGTCCAAGCACGGAGAGATGAATTTAAATAGTATATAGAATCCTAATCAAAATCCCAATCAATGATAGTCACAGAATCTGGTCATAATATTCCAGGCTGGAACATGTGATATATTCCAGGCCGGAATATGGAATGAAAACATGAGGCATATTGAGAATGTTCCACGGATCTGCCCAACATTTTCCGGGCTGTCATATACATGGCAGATGGTGAGAAAATTAAGAATATTCCACGGATATTCCTGTTATATTCCAGCCTAGAAAATGGAATGAATACACCCTGTAATATTCATAATATTCTCAACATATTCCAGGGCAGAATATGCTCCATTGCCCGCAGTGGGAACCCCCGCTTCGGCCTCCTTCGGACCCTCCGAACGCATCCAAGGCGCATCTGACTGGCACCCCCTCAGACGCTCCCACTGGGGGCACAGCCTATGGCGTGCCGGAACACGCGGCCTGGCCCCGTGACTGATTCCGTGCTGACCTCTGACCTACCGCGTTCCAACCGCGTTCTTGCATCTTTCAAATGGTGTTGCTACTGATATGTAAGGTACAGTCAACTACTTTTACTCATGAAAGAAACTGATGCCACGCGGTTATGGCCCCCATTCCCATTAGCCGGACACGAGATCAGCGTGACCCGATCGATCGCCGTGACGACGTGCTTCTCTTGACAAAACCACCACCTCTCGGCGTTTCTCCCGACACGCGACTGGATTTTGCCCTCCAAGACTGGACCACCAAGCGAGGGCCGCGCCGAATGACGGTGAGAGAAAGGGAGGCTGGTTACCCTTCTGCAAAGGGTGCGCCATTTTCCTCATTTTCTACATGGTTTTGACTCAAGCAGTCCCCAGACCGGCCAACCCGAATACAACCATTACTCGATGTCTATTCGCCCTCTGCCGCCATTCCTGCCCTCTCCCACTGTCATCTCCTATTCGCCATTCTCCGCAGTTTCTAGGTTAGTCTGGGTAAAAAAAAACGCCATAGCGCGCCATTGCGACCGTCGATTGGCGCAAAACGCAGACCACGGTGTCTCTAGGACTCCTTCCTTGATTCGCCTAAGTTTGGCATCGATCTGACGACTGGATCCCGACGACGACGCGGCCCAGGTTTGGCCCGCAACGGGCAAGGCCCAAACTTGCCCGTTGCGGCCCAAACGGGCCTCGCAAGCTCTTGACGACATTCGGGAGAATACGGGGGAGTGTTACCAACGTGGCCGACGCCTCTCGGCGCCCTGTGGCAGGCTGGAACGGCCACCGACGGCCAAGTTGGCGGTCTGCCCAAGAATTGCGCCCGGCGGGCCGAGAACGGGTCTGCGTGGGCTGCACAAACCAAGCGCGCTGAGTGTCTGAAATCCCGAGCAGAGCGGGGCAGTGGTTGTTTCTGCGCAGGCCGATCTCTGTTTTGCAAGGCGTGCGTCTCCCACTCGTTCTACCTGGGAATGCAGATGTGAATATCTGGGCACCACCTCCCATGCGTTATCAAGCAGGATAAGGCCGTTGGTGTCCCTTGTTGCCTGAGTGCGTAAATTCAGTGAAAAGACTTACCGTGGGCTGACCTTTTCGCACGGTGTGTTTATCACCTCCATCCCCCACGGCTCAGCCGTCTCGCGTCCCCTGAAAATTTGGCCATCAGCGCCGATCAGGCCGAACTCTGAGTCCGCTGGATGGTGTAGATGAAGGAGATTTGTCCTATGTCTAGCATGTATGGACGCCGCTCAGTCCTGTGCGGCGCGAAACCGACATACACCTTCTGCGGTGCGTCACCATCGCCCTTTCCCGTGCCGCTCCTATCTACATATCCGGCCAGTGCATCTCATATTATGCCCCCATCTTCGCAGGCAGCCGCACAAACGTGTCCTTCGTCATTGACGGCAGGCCGCCCGGCGCCGGCCGCGCGCGAGCGGCGGTGGGGGCTCCAAACTTGATAAGCGCCGCGAGCACTGCTTCATTTCCTAGCTACAACAAGCCGCGCACACTGGGGTGTACTTCACCTGGCCAACAAGGCACCTCCAACACTCCCAGCCACGAAACCGCCGTTGCACTACTGCTGACAAACACAAACATTCGCCGGCGCCGTTGTTGGACCTGCCGCGTCTTCATCGTGAGTTCGGCAATAACGGAAGCACTGGAAATCATCCCCGTTAGTGCAAAGAACGGCATCTTCCCCGACACAAGACCCTAGAACCTCCGCCACCTGCCTCTTGCTGGTGCACCCAACACGCGCCTGGACGTCGCCCTCCGACACGGAAGCGCTGGACAAAGGGGAAAATGCGGCAGCGCCTGCGTGTACCGGGGTTGTTCGTTAAGCACGTCTGGTGCGCCTTTCTGTATTACCCAACACTAACTGATGGATTCGGCGCTCTCGGAGCTGAAGGTGGGCGCAATGAAATTGGCTGCGGGCCAAAGGCCTGCGCCGAGGGAAGCTTAGACCAGGGGATGGAGGAGCTACAAGCGGTCGCGCGTGGGCAGGGTCCAAGGTGAGTCGTTCTTAGTTGTTTGGGCACCCGCTTACAGCATTGAACTCAGCCCGCATCCACGTCGGCTCAAGCCCAGGCCACAAGTATGGGCCGACGACGCGCCGGCACTGGGCAGCACGATGGAGTCAAGCGGAAGCATGAGCGCCCCACTGCAAAAGTTGCGCACTAATGCACTGGCAGATCGGGGCAGGTTTGTAACTGGCCGTAGCGCGCTACGGCCGCATCACAGAGGGGTGGGGGGACAACAGCACGGCTTGGCAGAGACGTGCGCGGCCGGAGGTTAGTGTGGATGTGAGGAATGGCTGGGATTGTCTAGAAGTCCTTTTAAGTAGTACGGACAGCCTGAATAAATATTAATGACTTGTTCTTCGGTGAAAAATAACATTTGAAACTCAGTTGATGGGATCAACATGGAGTAAAAAGGAACTGAGCTCCCTCCTTGGCCTGAGCAGCCAGCTTCCTCGCCCTTGTCTTGACGAATGGTGCTGGCCGGTTCGATCGCGAGAATGACATTGATGAGCTCGTGCTTGTCATCGACGGACTCGACACGGAGCACATGCAAAGCGAGGGGCGGATGTTTTGGGTGGTTTCGCGTTGCATGAAGTCGGAGCCTTGATCAACGCGTCTGCCAATGGCAGGTCCGTGTGCTGTGCCACTCATGGTTGGTGATTACTGAAGAGTTTTTTTTTTCGAAACTTTCAATCCATGCCACGAGGCATGACGTCATATCCTCGTCATGCGGTGAACAATAGGTGGAGACGCGGTAGGTCCGCGGTAGGTACGAGTCAAGCACGCGGCCAGCCACGCGGTCGGTCCGCGTGTTCCGGCACGCCGTAGCTTGTGCCCCCAGTGTCCGACCCACCCCCTTGGACGCTCTGACCCACCCCGACCATCGTCCACGGCCTCCTTCGCCTGCACAATCACCGATCCGTCAAGACCCTCCCAAAATATACTTCCTTGAGTTTATAAAGCTGTGTCAGAATAACATCACCCTGAGTATAGAGATTGTTCAGCCTATTATTATCAATACCACACTATAACAAGTTTGTCAGGGGAACCCCCTCCTTTGGCCCCTCGGAGACGTGTTCGATTCCGGTCCGACTCCGGTTCTGACTCCGGTCCGGCCCTCTATCTCGCCTGCACAATCACCGATCCGTCAACGCCCTCCCGACAGTCGCCCTGGGACCTCGCCTGCAATGCCGCCCAAGCCTTCTGTGCCCGACAGCGGCAGCTACGGACAAGCAGTATATAGTCAGCTCCCTAGCAGGCGGACCCTTAGAGTTTCTTCTCTTTGGATCCTCCCCTGCTAGGCCAGCTTCATTTGTATTCGCTTACCAATGTTCACGGTTTGGATCCTCCCCTGCTAGGACCTTGATCTCAGGCCTCCGGGGTTGCCCTTACAGACTCAGCAACATATTTATTTTGACAGTGCGACTTTTCCGCAACATGGCATGACTTTTCTGCATAACCCCAGTGGCTGAACTGGTTCATCACCCCAGGGCCCAATAGGCTATTATAGCATCCCCAGCCAAACCTCATTTACACATCACCAAGACTATTGACAATGGATTGACCCAAATTTCAGTCTGTCTAAGGCAGATACTGAGCCTTGGCTTACTGCCAGCTTAATTAGGTTCAATTGACAGTAAGTAGCCTGGATATCTCTTGAATTGATACAGAAATGCCTCTAATTTCAAGATTACTAGACAAGTTTTGGGGTTAATAGTAGTTATTAAACCCTGGAACTGTAGTCTGTGGACAGTGGCCTGTGCAAATTGTTATGTACTGTCATAATCTGTCACAGCTAAACAAAAATATAGAATACAGTGACTATTGTTTCTTTTCTAATAGCTTTTAAAGTTTAACCAAAAAAGGCAATCATTAATAAATGCCACATAAGTCCAAGCATGTAACTTTTTTTAAATTGCAAATGCCTTATAGAAGTAACACATATAATTTTATATTATCATGGTCAGTTACAGTCAAATCCACCGAGAAATACAGGAAAAATTGTGCTAAACGCGAAAAAATGTACACATATATGGCAGGGGGGGATATTTTCCCAAAGTGACCACCATAAAAGACCATTCGGAGTGGGACGGCCGACCATGATTATATAATCAGTGTTTTGAAACAGTGTAACACTGTCGTAACACTGTCACATACATGTTTCTGTTGCAAGCAGACTTGGCCTCCGCCAGTGGCGCTTGCAGCCTGCTCGTCGTCGCATGCCGGGGAACTACAACTGTCCCCAATGCATGACCGCACCAGGCTGCTCATTATCATTACTGCGAGCAGAGGAAAGAGAAACCCAGACCGTGATACTGTGACCGAAGACACGTGGCTCGGACACGCGACCTCCTTCTCTTCGACTCCCACTCGCTATATAGTAGTACCAGGCAACCCACTCGCCCCGGCCTCGCTGGTCACACCTCGCCTGACTTGGGCCATTTGCACGGCCACCCAGCAAGCCTCAAAATCTGTTTCATGTGGGTGGATACGCTAACTACGGTCTCCTGTCCTCAAAAGGCTCATTCTACATTGTCCAGAATTGCCTCCAAAGTTGTCGCTGGCCCTGAAAGCCACCAACCAACCTTCTACGACACGTCATCAGCAGTCTCGTCATACCCGGACAGGCGGCAGTGGTACGACTTGGAGGAACTGACCAGCGCCGTCTTGTCAGATCGAATGCACTGTCGCAGGTGTGCTGCATCTCTGCACAGTCTTAATGCATGTGTATTCACCTTCGAAGTCGTGTCTCTACGCGGCGCCGCCAGCCACAGCCAGTGGACACAAGCAGAACAAGTCGACTCCACCGCGGCACCTTCAAGTGGCTTATCCCTTTTTGGTAGCAAGAATCCGGCCTCCACGTGATCGCCGACAACCTTCTCCTTCGACAGCCATCTCACAGCCGGAACGGACTACTGCTACAGAGCCGGGTCGCGCCAGGCATTCAACTGCATCGCCAGACAGCCCAGGACCTGCAGCTGCTCAAATTCCCTCCAGCATCTCGACGCCAACACCTGCCGCCCTGGAATGTGTGCCCATTCACAACAACTGCGGGCGGGACAGCAAGCTACATGGATGGCAACAGCGACAAGACAGCGCCCCAGCAACGAATGCATGGCTGGTAACCTTCTCGTGTTCGAAGCAGCCGCGGCTTAGCCAATGCTGCGTTCTAGCCCCGCCACCCTCACGCGCTGCCAGTGTAACCCATGCTTTCCCCGCCCCGCCTTAACTCCAACCAACATGCTGCACAAAGAGACCCCACCTGGCCCGCAACCTGCAGCCTCCGAGTCGTTGCTGCACCAGTACTGCCAACATTACGGCCACGACCTGTCTCAGTATAGTAGCGCCACACAAGCTGCTGTTAGCGCAACGAGGAACGTGGTTGTCGAACTGTAAGTGGATTTTGTGAAGCTGCAGAAGCTGCTCACCATTGGTCGTCACGGTGGAAGAGATGGCCGGCACATAGGTGGTGGAGAGACACGGTTGACTATCCAATGGTGGGTCTTCTGAAAAGGATGCGGGAGCTGGCGAGAGCAGGACATGCACAAGATACAAGACAAGCCTTGTATACTATTATACTGGTTGTAGGTCAATGTAATGTAATTGTAGCAAATGGGGATTGGAGTTGATTCAGTATGCTGACTGATTGCCTTAATAGCTAATTTGTATGCCAGAACAAATGTTATCGGCCGGATCACAGATCTGAGTGCTACATTTTCTGAAAATTTTCCGTGGCAGAAAATCAGAAATCTTCTGACCCGGAAAATTTCCAGAAGATTCTCAGAAGATTGATGGAAAATTCCAAATTTTCCGTGACAGAAAAATTCTCGGAAAATCTTCAGAAGATCTTCAGAAAATTTCAAATTTTCTGTGCATTTTCTGGGGCAGAAAATACATTAATGTCCATAGTGTCTTCTACTTTACTTGACTTTGTTGTAATATCATTACTTACTTTGTTATCCCTTATTCCACTTCCATTACTTCTCGTACTATAAATACTTTGATATATTACTACGTACTTCAGTTTGTAAATTAATGTTGCTGGTCTCTATCTCCCAGCATCATCTCAACTCCGCTCTTCTCTTCTTGTCTTGTCTTGGTCAACTGGAAGCCCCGGTCACCCAAACATCCTTCTGTGGTGTTCCGCCCCCAAGTGCTCTCCAACTTTGATTCTATTTCCGACTCCAACTTTGACTCCGGTCCTTTGGTTGACATGGCCCTTAACATATACCTGCAGTGGGTAGGGCCTGACTGTGGAATAAGTTATCCCTTGTTTGTGGCATTTTACTTAGTTCAGATGTCACATATCACACTGGTTGTAAAATTTGATTTAATTTTTTCACATGTTGCCCTAAATGACACAAAATCTAAATCTAATAACTTTGGGAGATATTTTTTTGAAAAAGTTTTTTTTTTAAAAAAAAAATAACCCGAAACACTAATAGCAGCGACATCAAAAATAAAAATGGGGAGCAAATAAATTGCTCGGGGAGTCAAGCCAGCACTCATGTGTGTAGATGTGCGTTAAACCCTTCCATTTGTCCCCAGTGACAAGAGGAAACTACAAGGTTGCATAAAATAAGACTAGTACTCTGCCATGTACAGTAAAGGGCCTAGTGGAGCCCAAGCTCAATAAGGTTACATAAGTTAGTTTCTGGCTTGGCTCCAATTTTTTAATTCCTTGTCCAGCAAGGTTTTATCATAGTATAGGTATCAATCACTATCGTCAACCTCAACTGCTGGCCTTTCTAGCAGCGATTTAATGCTTATTGCCGGCATACGAAAACACTCGAATCACTCTGGTTCTATGATCCCAGATGCTCGCCAGCCCGACGATCTCATCGTGCGCGATCGGCCCGCTCGCCGTAAGATTTTCGCCATGAAAGCAGGTGAGCGCCGGCTGTTGCGCTCCGCGGCGCAGGCGCAGCACGCCGACGAGTGGCCGCGTGCCCGGCGGGGCCTTGGGCTGCACGAAGCCGCGTATGAAGACGCTGCCGGTGGACCCCACGCCGAAGACCGGCGTGAGGAACGGCGGGAACTGGTACGGCAGGCTTTCGATTGCCTGCCCAACCATTGGCAGTCCAGAGGAAGGCCCGCGAAAGAAGTGCAGGAAGCGCCGGTCGTCCGGCTCGGGCTGGCCGATGCGCCGGAACGTCCCGTAGGTCACCGCGAAGACGCCGAATTTGGCGTAGCTGCCGACCATGGATGGTGGGATTGAAGAGCTGAGGTAGAGCCGCGCGATGGCCGTGAGCTGGGCGAGGCTCTCCGCGGTGGGGAAGCGCACGGGGATCGCTTGCGACTCAAGCGGGGCATGGTGGCCGCGGATCGACCCGAGTTGCGCCGAATGCAGGCCTGCCTCGTTCTCGAAATCGTAGGGTGCGAATCCATGGAGCCGCTTGGTGAGAGAATCGTAAAACAGCCCTGAAGTCGCCCCGCGTCCCTGCCGTTGTGATGAATGCCCGACGGATATCTGGGGAAGACTTCGCGCACCATCTGGTTCATCGGGAACATATACCGTTGGCGGTGCACCTCGTCCGCGGCAAAGTCCCACCACACGATCTCGCCGTCCTCGGTGGAGAACCCCATCAGCGCGGCGGAGATGAAGTGCTCCGGCCAGTGCGACCGGCGGATCCTCTGCACGGGCGATGAGTAAAGAATATCCACCTGGATATTCTCCCGGTCCTCAACATCAACGTAGATGGCGGCGAGTTTATCGACCAGGAGCTCCCCTTGGGCTGCTCTGAGAGTCTATTCGTCAGGATTCTGGGACTAGACGCTGAAAGAACGTACCGGCGCGTCAAGCCACCAGAGAACAACGCACGTGCGCCGACCCACACGCACGGTGCGACGAATACCGTCAGCTGGGCGCCCTGCGGCTCGCCCTTCTCAACATCTACCGTTGCCACGCAACGGCGCGCAAACACGTCCCATACCGCCAGCTGCTGAAAGCCGCTCATCAGAAGCAGCCCCGTGCCCGGGATGAACACCGCCTCCGAAAAGTCCTCCAGATTGAACGCGGCTATCTCCGCCAGTTGCGGGTGGGGCGAGTCCAGGTTACACAAGATGCCTGCGGCGCGGCGGACGAGGAATTGGAGGTCTTGGGTGGACAAGACGGTCAGGTCGTCTTGGAACGATGTTACCGGTTGGTGCTGAACGAGTTCAAGGTGCGCTATGGCGGCCAGCCATATGCTGCGCTCGTCTGCAAGCGCGTGGATTCGACGGCATGTCTGTCAAAGGGTCAGGCACGGAAGCGAGGAAGGGCAAAGTGGGCACGGAGAGCAGCCGGAGCAGGTCCTGTGCATCCAAGTAGCCCATGAGGACCAGTAGAATGTCGGGTGGGAGATCCTCCACGGAGGACATCGTCGTCAGGACGGAAGGCGGTGCCACGCTGTCACGGAGCGGCGCTCAGGAAAAAACTTTGTGACGACTATTACTTAAGCCGGTCACACCACGTCAGTCGTGACCGGCTTGTTTTCGGACCCTCACCCTCGTCCAGTTTCTCACCCCATCCGCGCGTCCCCGGTGGCCGCGGCGACCTGGCGCTGACCAAGCCATCTCAAGCGCTCATCGCGACGTGCTCGTTGGAGTGCGCTGACGAAGCAGGGGAATGGGTCAGCGTCGAAAGTTTAGCCGGGCGTGTACTTATACCCCATTGCTGGGGCAGGGTGGAGGAGTAAATTCAGAGGCAGATGGCGTATCCGGAGAGTGCACGTGCATATGTCCTCGCGCAGGTGCGCTTGCTTTCCATTTCTGCGCAAGGGCGGCTGGTGCTAATAAGTATGGCCGCGTATACGTAGACGGGCTCGCTCGACGGGTTGGAATTGCGGGAGGTGCCTGTGCTGCCGCCCCAGGGGACGGAGGTGTTAGTGAAGATCAAGGCCGTTTCTCTTCAGGTGTGTCACCAACTTGTTTTGCATGCAAATGTTTATGTTTCGAAGTACCGCGACCTAATGGTCATCCGTGGCGAGTTTCCGCCCCCCGTACGCCTGCCTCCCTCTCCCCTTTCTCCCTCTGATTCAACCACCACCGTAGAATCGCAGAAAACCTGACGCCCGGCTCCGATATGGCCGGTGAAGTCGTCGCGCTCGGCCCAGACGCGAAGGGATGGGCCCTCGGGGACCGCGTCACGGCAAGCTTCTTTCTCCATCGCACCGGCGACAACTACAACACCGACATCATGAACAGCGCCCTCGGCGCACCCGTCAGCGGTGTCCTCCGCGAGTACTGCGCGTTCCCTGCCCATTCACTGGTTGCGGTCCCGGAGCACCTCTCGTTTGAGGAGGCAGCGACCCTGCCCTGTGCCGGCGTCACTGCGTATAACGCGCTGTTTGGCGGGCCGCGGCCGCTGACGGCGGGTGAGACGGTGTTGATCCAGGGCACTGGTGGGGTGTCAATGTGCGTGGCTTTCTTCGTCATATCTCCAAGCTATGCTTGACATTGGCGTACAGTTTCGCGCTGCAGCTTGTGATCGCTGCCGGCGCCCAGGCGATCGTGATTTCGTCGTCGGACGAGAAGCTCGCGGTCGCGAAAAGGCTCGGGGCGGCTCACGGAATAAACTATAGCCACACGCCTGCGTGGGACGAGGAATTGAAGAAGCTGACGGGCGGGCAAGGTGTGGATCGCGTAGTTGAGGTGCGCTTGCTCTCACAATGCTAGTATTACGAACTTGAATATTTCCTCTTTTTTTAGATGGGCGGAAATACGACGCTCGAGCGCTCGCTCTCGGCGGTCAAGACGGGTGGGCACATCCATCTCATCGGACAACTTGGCGGCATCGTACGTCGTAGCCTAGTCTCTCTGTATGACTGCTGATTCAAAAATTGACGCAGGACGATGTCCCCGCCGTGAGCGTCGTCGTGCCCGCGATCTGGAAGGAGCTGCACATCCGCGGGAACTCGATCGGCAGCGTTGCGCAGTGCGTCGTTCCGCTTCATCTCCTGGCATTCCGCGACCAAGTAACGCCCCACAGCTTCCGGTGCCTCCTCCGCGTGCTCGCGGCTCGCCCGGAGATGACGCGGCCCGTGATAGACCGTGTGTTCGACTTCGCGGACGCGCGTGCGGCGCTGCAGTATGTTGGGAAGCAGCAGCATGTCGGGAAGGTCGTCGTGCGCATGTAGACCGCACTCAGGACTGCCATATGCGGATGTTGTAGGACTATAATTACTTGTGTTCGCAGAAGCAGGTCCAAATACCTAAAATTAATATTGATGATGATGATGGAACCTATTCTAATATTATGGTGGAAGTCCATCTTCTGGCTTTAGAGCATCAGATGGGAGTAATGAGAAGAGATGTGCCAATTCAGTCAACAGTCAACATGCCTATCTATCATGGGTGATAGATTGATCAAAGATAGACTGATCAAATGGAACGACGGCATGGATTGGTCAAGGCAGTGCAGAAATCCGTTTCATATAACTGCTCTATGCAGAAGTGCTCACCTTTCTCTCCTCCCTCAACTACGATCCAGGCTATAATGAGTCTTGAACCATTCAATCCTAACTTGACCCTAGGCAATAAAATGTCATTGTATTAATATGGGACTAACCATTTTTCTTAGGAATATACCAAGTTGGAGTTCTGTGCTCCTTTCTTCTGCTGGGCATTGCCTGCACTCAAGCACACTTCTATTATACCCATTATCAGGATGACTCAGTGTGGCTCAAGCTTCTGGTATGCATAAAGCCTTCTATATATCTATTATTTAACTCTGAGGATTTTCAAGGTTGCCTTTATTTGGTTAGTCGCATGCAACAGGCCCTTTCTCAGCTGAGCCTCAACTTAGCCTCACTGAGCTGGGACAAGCAGCCAGTCTTGCAGCCAGCTTATACTCCTACACTATCTCAATATATGGACAGAACATTGACCCATTCCTGAAAGGCATTCCTTTGAGCCTGGGTGAAGCCGCACTTCTAGCAGGTCTCATTGCACCAACAGGTCTGTGCTGCAAATTACATGCATCCATGCTTACACCTTTCAAAGTCCAATCATTTTTTGCGTACAGAATCATGATTTTGGCGCCTCATGCAGTGTTAATTGCCTGCACAATCTGGTTTCTAGCATTGGGACAGATATGTCTCAGCACCACAATGTTCATACAAGGGGGGTTCAAGATCCTTATCAGGCACATGGGGTAGGGGGGGGAGGGGGGTCCCTGGGGGGTAAAAAAAACTTTTTGTATATAAAAGATTTGGGCCTTATATGGGTATAAAGACACTGAAAATATAGTGTATACCTTCTAATTTCTATACTTCAGCACTCTCATTACTTATATCTATATACCTTCAGGCCCATGCACTTGGATAGCCCACTCTGTCAGAGGCCCATGCATCAGGTAATTGATGAGAGGTGAACATGTTGGAGTGTTGATATGGCCTGCCATGTGTGTGTTGGAAGGCTCTAGGTACATACATACCTACACATATACACATACACATGTATAAATTTTTTACAAAAAAAGTTTCACAAAGATTGAATTTTTTATCCCACTTTTTGATCGCATCAGTGGTCACATGACGCTGATCGTGAGAATGTATTACTATATATGGCAGGAGGGGGGGAGGGGGGGGTCCCGGGGGGGTCAGAAAAAAACTTTCCGACCCTATATCCGTGATTCGAACTTTGAACCCCCCCTTGTGTTCATAGTTGGATCTCCAAAGATTTCATTTACTTCATTCTACCACAAGTGGTGGATCCTGCTGGACAGCATATGGGTTATCAATGTCAGCAATGATGTGATCATTACTATCACCTTGGTACTGGTGCTTTACAAGGCCAAAACACAAACAATATATAGGTATAATTTAGTCATATAGCCATTTGGGGACTCATATCAGTTGTAGCTCTAGAAATGTCCTTGACAGATTAATCAAGTGGACAATTGGTGAGTTACATGCTCTTATATAATAATTTTTTGATCTTCTGATCACCTTGATTCAGAAACTGGAGTGATTACAAGGCAGGTATAAAGTTATCTATATTATATCTCTCTCAAGTGCCCAAGCTCTGTTGGTCTCCTTTGTATCATCACTGTGAGAGTTTCTATCTATTCAGATGATAAGAACTAGATTCAAGCACAGTTCTTTACTAGCAAGAATACCTGTTTGTATCTCTATTATATTTTCCCTTTCTACCATCTTCATATCAACTACACAGGGATTTGGCTAGCAATATTTGCTGTCAGAGGCAGTTGTCAGTCTATGTTGACAGAGCAATAAGTTGCTTTAACCCTTTCTTAGTATTTGCCAACTCCTTACTTGCCAGGTTTCTTCAATCATTGATTTATTAATTATGTTATGATTTCTTACTTTGAGATTATAGTCTGAATTTTCGCAAGACGATACGCAAGACTTTGGAACAAGATCAGCCTCATGAGGTGTCTCTACCAATGTCCTCAATCAGAGTATGGTCTTGTCTATCTAATGAGAAGTCTTAAGGATAAAATATCTAGATGAGGGCTGTTCAACACCTGTCTACTCAGGATGATAGTACCACAGCCAGTGATCCCATGATAGCTCAGTCCTAGTTTTTAAAGGGTCCAGAAGCATATGTTATCAGAGAAATATCTGATATCTGGTTTTGACACACATTTCTAAATGATAAACTTTTAAAGGGCTGTCGAACACCTGTCCACTCAGGATGATAGTGTAAGGGCAACCCCGGAGGCCTGAGATCAAGGTCCTAGCAGGGGAGGATCCAAAGCGTGAACATTGGTAAGCGAATACAAATGAAGCTGACCTAGAGGCTAGCAGGGGAGGATCCAAAGAGAAGAAACTCTGAGGGTCCGCCTGCTAGGTAGCTGACTATATACTGCTTGTCCATAGCTGCCGCTGTCAGGCACAGAAAGCTTGGGCGGCGTTGCAGGCGAGGTCCCAGGACGACCGTCGGAAGGGCGTTGACGGATCGGTGATTGTGCGGGCGAGATGGAGGGCCGGACCGGAGTCGGAACTGGAATCGGACGCGTCTCCGGGCCGAAAGGGAGGTTCCCCTGACAGATAGTGCCACAGTTGGTACCCCTATAGTAGCTCAATCAACTGTGTCATCTAGTTGTTAACAAGTGCAGAAGTATATGTTGTTACAGAATTATCTGATATCTGGTTTTGACTACACAAATTGGTCTCTCCTGTCATATCAGCTCAGTTGCCATTTTTGTCAAACTATTTGATAACCTTCAAAATCTTTCTGTGTTGCAAGCCCTCAGTGGCCCAGACACCAGCGCCGGAGAGAATGGGCCAGGTCTTATTCACAAAAGATGTTGCCTTTGGGTATACTAGTAGTGAATAACCTTAAATGTCCAAATCTTGTTTTATATGTGTCATTCACAATGGAGTTACTTGTCCAGATTTGTGCTCAGGCCTCAGACAGTGTCTATGGTTTTGGCTGGATTTGTCAGGGGAACCCCTGTCTCGGCATCTGTCCATCACATCTCGGCATCAGACACCTTTCCATCAATTACCTACGTGATGCCCAAGCGACCGTTGTTCTGTCCACAGATTGATATCCATGTACGTAATTCATCAGGATCTGCAGAAAGATCCTTCTGGGACCTGGCATGCAACATGGCGCAGCATATTGCATGGAGCAACAATGATTCTTGGCGCATCAAGAGAGCAGTATATAGTTGGCTGCTTGGCAGGTGGACCCTCAGAGTTTCTTCTCTGTGGATCCTCCCCTGCCAGTCACACTTTGAATCCTCCCCTGCCAGGACCCTGATTTCGGGCCTCTGGGGTTGCCCTTACAGGATTTTAGACCAAAGATGTCTGGTTTGGGCTTGAATGGATTTTGGTCTGACCTCCATCAAAAAAAAAAAAAGGACACAAAAGAGTCGCATAACATTACAAAAGCGTCGCATAGAGCCCGTTCAGTATATGTAGATGGGTCATGGAGTGGGTACATCCCTCACAGTTGTGGACATGTGTTGAGCACTTTGGAATTGCATCTTCTCGTGACAGATTCGAAACGGCGCCAAAGGTGGAGCAGAAGAGCCTGAAGAGCAATTTTTAAGACAATTGTAAACAGGTTTGAGGGACGAAACTGTTCCACGACCCACCTGCAGATAAGGATTGGAACTTGGAAGGGAAGGGCTGAACCATCACCCGTACGTCCATGACATGACGTCAAGCACGGGCACTCGCGGCTCGCCCGGCCGATACGCGCAGCGCGATGCACCCAAGGCCCGGGCACTCTTCAGCAGCAGCGCAATTCCGGGACGGGCGCGCTCGGTGCTCACTGCTCACTGAGGTAGGCACGCCGCAACCGCTGTGACCCCGGCCGGCCACTGCGTCGAGCGTCGGGGCGTGAATCTGCGTCTGTTGTCTTTGTCTGGACTTGCCACTAGCCAAGTCCCGCAGCATTCTGCGCGTCGATCCCCGGCGTCTCATCGTGTACCCGGGTAAAATAGGCAGTGCCGTGCGGCGTGTTTGCGGCGCGGAGCCGCTGGTGGCGCCGGTGAATCGCGCTCGACGATGCGTTGCTCCTTCCAACGGACGACACGTAAGTAGTGTGCATCTGCTCGTGCTCTGCGCGGCGGAGTACGAGTGCAGCGGGTGGCCATGCTAGTATGCGTGTCGACTGCAAGACATTGTACTTGCTGTCAAACGTCTCGAATCTCGATCGCGACGCCACACTTTTCCCTTTTCCCAGGACGAGTCAGTCACAGTAGTGTCGATCGTGGTGCAGCGTCGATCGTGACAATTGAGTCGGAGTCAGCGCATATTGCTCATCCACGCCCGTTTTTCCGAGGGAGAGGAAGTAGCAGAACAGTAGTGTATACGTGGCGGTCGGTTAGTACAGCGGGTAGCAGGTAGACAATGCGTGTATGCGGGGGTGGTACAGGTTGTTAGTTGGTTTAAGTATGCGTAGGAGAGTATATGGCGGGGGTACATGTACAGTGCGGGAGGAAGAAGGGATGGCACAAGAAGGCGGATATGCGGGGAAGATGCAAGAATGAGAGAGACAAGGACAAGAAGGCGAAGGAGCGTGGGGGCTTCAGGAGCGGGGAGGTGCGAGGAAGATACCTAGGCGCTGTTGCGCGGCGTGTAGTGTAGCGTTGAAGAGTAGGCCAGGTCAGCGCCGAGTAGGGCGCGTCTCCCGCCGACGCCACTTGCGCGGGCGGAAAAAGGCGTTCAGAGCGAGCTGCAGCAACAGATCAACTCTGTTTCCCTGGTAAGACGAGAATACGCACCCAGAACGGCGACGCCTGCCGCTTGTCCTTGTCCTCATCGCGCTCCCCCGCGAGCTCGTTGTCCGGGAGGAGCACCGGCGCCCTGCTCTTCTGCCGCCCACCGTCGTCGCCGACGATATACGGCCCCCGCGCCGGCGGGCGGGCAAGCCGGATCTCCACGATGTCCTCGCCGTCCGTGTCGCCGTCCGTGTCGCCGTCGGTGTCCGCGCCGAGCGCCAGTGTCTGCGCCCCGTCAGCGCCACCCACGACATTCGCACGACAAAGCACACCTGGCAGGCCGCCCACGAGACGGGCGAGTGGATCTCGTCCTTCGTCGTGCGGTAGTAGTCCGTCTCCGTGAACGAGTTCCGCGGCGTGCCCACACTCGCGCTCGACGCCGTCGACCACGCGGACGGCGCGGACCGCGGCTTCGGCCTGCTATTGCTCTGGCTCGCACTAGTGCTCTTCGGCGTCTTGGACTTGCGCAGCATAGTCAGGGCGGGGAGGCAAGGGGGAGGGAGGGAGGGAAGGCCCGAAGCGGACGCACGAGGGCGTTAAGAGCAAACGCGAGCAATTACGCCGAAACGCGTAATGACGTTAGCGCCGTTGCGTGGCGTTGGCGCGTCGCGAAGGCCACGAGGCTGCAGCTGCCGCGGCTGATCTGATAAATTGCGCCTTACCGCATCCGTTTCGGGCGATGCCGCGCGATCACGTCCCAGCTGCACCGATCGCGAGGGCGTTTCGTGGTGTCGTGTTCTAAGTAGCGAGCTGGTTGTGCTGCGGTATGCGGCGTTGGGCACGCTGGCAGTCGAGGTACGGCGGTAAAGGGGCGCGCCACCGGGGCGTGTTCTAGACCTGCACGTGTTATAACTTGTCAGAAGAGGACGACCTTTTTCGCTCGTTTTTACCTTTCTGACTCATCGACATCTTCGCGCGATCGCACCCAAACCGGCGGCGCATCGGACGACCGCCTCGCTGCAGGCTCTTTCGCTTGCTCCTGCGCGTGCGCTCGCTGGTCTCTGAGTCGGGGGCTCCGGCGAACAACCATGCAGGCGGGGAATGCCAGTGCGACACTGGTGATACCGCGAATGCGATTCACCAAAGGTCACCACCCCGGACCGGCGCGCCGGTCGCCCGCGCCGCGCATCAGCATGTGCTGATTGTGTGGCGCGATGCGCCGCCGGGAAGGCCGGGATCGGATCCGCCACATGGCTGTCGCGGCACGGCAAGTGCTGCGAGTTAACTTCGCCGTGCCGCAGCCCATCGCTGACCTCACTGAACCCGACGGTGCATCGAAGGAAAAAAACCGGGTGGCGATCCTTGGGACGCCCTGCCCAGGCGCGAACCGGGCTCCCGCACTGCGCTCGTGGTTCCACAGACGCAATGGAAAGAGGGGTACATCCAGGCCGCGGGCTCTCTGAGGCCTGCAGTGCGCGTATTCAGCTTGTGTCTAGTACCAGAATCGCAAAGACTCACTCGAAGTTGCACGAACACGAGTGGGCCATGGCATTTCACCGCTCTCCTTCATTTCCTTCAGACGACGCCGGTTCCTGCCCTACATCGACTTCTTGCACATGCTGGCACTGAGAAATGGAGCCCTGGAACGACGTTGAAGCGTTGCCAGGTGGCTGTCGATGGAAAATACCGCCCTACAAACTTCTTCGGGTGGGAAATCGACCTTGGGATGATGAGCTGTATATGCCTGCGGGAGAGGACAAGCCACGTAAGCAATCAATTGACAAATCTCCGTTACATCATCGGCTAAATTGATTGCCACCTCTTGCCTTCGGCCCGGCCAAGCCCTCGGAAGCCTGGCCCAGGCCCGGCCCCGGGGGGAGGGCTTGCTTAGGGTCGCAAAAGCCCTCCCGCATTGGGGCTCGGCTTTCCCCCCAAGCCCGAGCCCTGGAAAGCCCGGCCCTAATTGGGGCTTGGCAGGGCAGCCCGGCCCTAGACAACACTAGAAGGTAGATGTTGTTTAAGCAAGCGGGGGAGCTAGGGAATGGAAGGAGATGGAGGCGGCAGTCAAGCGGGTCACAGAGTGACTGCACTACCGCCTCTCACTTGACACAAGAACACGCACCTCCCTCCGCAGGCTACAGGAGGTGCTTCTCGCTTTCGCACCGACAACACGACTAATGTAGGTGGGTTATCATGTAACAGCGCCCTACCTCTCAAGGGGGGTTCAAGATGCTTATCAGGCACATGGGGTAGGGGGGAGGGGGGGGGACCCCGGGGGGTAAAAAAAACTTTTTGTGTATGAAAGATTTGAGTCTTATATAGGTGTAGAGACACTGAAAATATAGTGTATACACTCTAATTTCTATAGTTCACAACCATCATACTTATTAAGAGGTGATATGGCCTCCCATGTATGTTTGAAGGTTCCAGGTATATACAGACCTACTTATATACACATATACATACATAATTTTTTTGAAAAAAAAGTTTCACAAAGATTGGATTTTTTATGCCACCTTTTGATCGCATCAGTGGTCACATGACGCAAATCGTGGGAACATATTACCCTATATGGCAGGAGGGGGGTCCCGTCCCTGGGGGGTCGGAAAAAAACTTTCCGACCCTATATCCGTGATTCGAACTTTGAACCCCCCTTGCTACCTCTCATACTTCACGTCTGAGCTTAGTACGCTATCCAGACTGTGGGAAGTAGGAACACCTCTGTGAGGTGTTCCTAGGTGTTCCTACTTCCCACAGTGTCCAGGGGGGATAGATCAATCATCACAGCATATCGAAAATATAACTGCGCTCAGGATAGCTGACAAATGTGATTCCTGCGGTCACGCCAAATCAACAAGCTTGTCATCAACCGTCATCATCACTCGCCCGGTATGCTACATGGAAACGAACAGCACCCCATAGACAACACTCATAATGGCTTGTAGCGTCTTCAACATCCGGATGCCGCTCTGGCTCCTTATTCTTGTTCAATGCTTGTTGTTCTAATTGTCAACGAAACACAGACTTGTGGACGCACAGCTTTCGCCCCCACAAAACGACCGAGCCGCTATATAACAGTGCTCGCTTCATATAACAGTGCTCGCTTCCTTCCTTTCTCCCAGCTTCACACATCCCAGCTCTCCTCGCCCCATCACTCCGCTCTGGTCCGGCTTGCACTTGCCAAATTCGTCGCTGCTCTGACTAGGTGTGCCGTCCATTGGCCTTGGTGGATAACTCGCGCTGGGTAGATGATGCACAGCCCTGGCGCACACACAGGCCATTGTGGATAAAAGGCGTGTACTCTTCTCGGTCTTCCGAGTCTGCCATCGTCAAGTCATCCTCACTCCCCCATCCACCCAGGCTCGTCTTCTCTCAACATGTTCGTCCCCATAGAACCTATCCGCCAAATTCTGGGAGGTTATTAAAACCGGTTTGAGCTCCCAGCCGATTTAGAAAAGTTTGAAAACAGGGATTGATAAAATTGCCTAAAATGGGAATTTTTGACCTTTTGAATTATTTTTTGGGCTAGCATGTATATTCACTTGTCTTTTTACACCATTCCTCAAGCTTTCAGGGTGCCCCTGGCTATCCCAAGCTATATTCAGTGTTGTCTGGATATGTTGTGACCCTATCACTGATGTAATGGTAACACTTTGTGACTTTGAGTCTTTAAAAGACCTCCAGGGATTACAATAGTTGATTAGTATGCTACCTCTATAGCTGTAAGTATAGCTGCCCTACATCTCTATAGCACAAGCCAAAGTTGCACACGTGGCGTTGTTCTCTGGCGGCTTGACGCGACGGTACGAGAAGATCGAGTCGCAGATTACTTATTCGCTGATAAGTTGCCTCTCTCAGAAATGCCGAAGAGGAGCTCCTGGTCGATAAACTTGCTGCCATTTACGTCGATGTTGAAGACCGGGAGAATATCCAGGTGGACATTCTCTACTCGTTGTGGTATGGCACGCTGCTGCTGCTGGTCCGATGATACAATACGATGATGTGACTACATAACATGATGCGGTACTCTGATGCGCTGATCTCCCATCACAGGTGCCCCCTTTTTAAAATGGCGACGTCCTCGTCGCCTGTGCGTCCTCCATGGCCTCCACTTCTTTCTCCAAGTCTGCGACTCTCTTGCGCTCGGCCTTCTCGCCTTCTCTCTCCTTCTCCACTCGTCGTATCTCTTCTTCGCCTTGTACCGCGGTCTGTTCTCGTAGCAGTTTCATGAATGCACTCTGTTCTTTCTCCAGTTGCGTTCCCTGCTTGGTCGCAAATCGCCTGAGTCTTCGCGCGCTGTAGAACCCCGACACTGGTATTCCGTCCAGTGTGTCTAACTCGTACGAGTTTAGTCTTCGGGTTCTGATTCTGTACGGCTCGCTCCATGGGCCTTGGATTTTCCTGTCTGCACTTAGCGTTTTCATTCTCGCAGAATCGAATACTTGGACTAGTTCTCCTGCTTCGAACACCACTTCACCCGCCCTCGACGCCTTGACCTTCTTGTCGAACGCGGCCTTGCGCGCGTTGGCATATATCAGTCGGTTTTCGTAGGCATCGAGTCGCTGTTGTTCCGCGTACTGCATGTGTGTCTTCACCTCGCTTTCCGTCATTTCTGTTTCTGCAAGCAAGATTGGTGTTGGCGTTGTGTTGACGGCTTGCGCGAATACAATCTCTTTTGGTGAGAACCTAACCGACGGCAGTAATCTTGTATTCAGGATGTATAGTGCTTGCCTGAAATGGTTTGACCAGGTGGCGGGCAGCTCTTCGACCCTCATATTCCTCCATCCGTCTTCTCCGAGTTTCGGCGCACACAGCCTGGCAAGCACGTACACCAGCAGCTTGTTGGTTCCTTCCACTAGTCCATTTACCCACGGCGAATACTTAGGGACTGGGATGAACTCTGTTCCCCATTTGTCGCAGGTGGCCTTGACCGCCTTGTTGACGAAGTGGCTTCCGTTGTCGACCATTAGCGCTTCTGCTGGCAGGTAGTCTCTGAACATATTGTCCAGGACCTCCACGGTTGCTCCTCCCGTTCCCGCTCCTTTATAGATTTCGCCCCATACGTGCTGCGATGCGACGTCGATGTACAGTCCTGTCGTCTTGTATCCGTCGTGGCTGAGCGGCAGCGTCATGTAGTCCGCCGCTATTAGTTCGAATGGATGTCGTCGTATGATTGGTTTGAGTAGCGCGTGTATGTTGCTCGGCCCAAAGTTCTTGCACTGGCTGCATTCGCTTATTGCCGCAATGATTGAGTCGTCAAGTTTAGGGCTGTGAAATTTGTCCATCAGTGCGATTTTAATGTGGTCTCTATGAAAGTGGCCCCCTTCTGCATGCAGTTGCGCTGCCTTTTGCTTCGCCTCTGCCTTTGTTATGCACTCCCTGCTCGCTCTTGCTCTGCCTCCCCGTGCACTTCCTAACCTCCACAACTTACCTCCCTCGATGAAGTATTGCGAGGCTCGGTGTCTTGCCCTTTTCCTCTCCCTCTCGCTCGTTCCCAAGTCCAACTCCGTTAGCGCGTTGATGACCTCGATGT